AGTTATTTAAATTTCAGTAGTTATCTTTTTGCAAATTTAATTCCATGTAATTAAAAACTAGGCCATGTAATTAAAAATTAGTTAGGCAATGTAATTAAAAGTTAGGAAAACTTAACTTTACGTTTTTACAATTTACATCCTTCAAAACGTTAAAGGAAAGTGTTAATACAATCATTAGGTCCATTATCATTACGTAAGATGAGAGATGGAAATATATCGAATAAATTATCATTATACATCATAATTTCTTGTCAGATAGAAACCAAAAAGTTATTGTATCGAACTCAATACATGCATGTACATTGTATAATTTTTGGGTAAAGCTATAGAAATTAAATTTGCAAAACTAAATGTTGTGTCATTAATATAAAATAAACACATTAATTAACACTTAAATAATAATCCAATCATCAACAACTATATCATTTAATTTACAAAATTTTATTTAAAAATTTAATCTTCTTCAAGAATCCTAATTTATTTCCTATCCTACATGCTGAGGATTCACCTGACTAAAGAGTATCTTTTACTAATAAAAATATGAATAATCCAAAGTCATAAATATAATTTTATTTCCCCAGACAATGCCATAAGACAGGACATGATACCTTTTAGTGGGTCACTTGTAATGATAATGATTGGCAACCAATAATATATACTTAAAAAAAAAAAGTGATGTTACATTATATGTATAAAGAAAAACTAGTGAAAATGACTTCAAAATTTTGAGTTTTAACAAAAATGACAAAAATATGTTGTAAGTGAATAGTACTAAGATTGATTTTTTAGAATAAAAATGTGGTTTTTTGTTAAAGTGAACAATACCGAAAGTGTTTCGTTAAAACTCCTTATTTTTAAACCATTTTTTATAGATAACATCATGTTACGTTTGATAGTTGGATTTTTTCTTTAAATTATTAAAAATGATTTTAACCATCAACTGTCATATCATATGGTCTACAAAAAATGATCTAAAAATTTATCTACCTAACATTTTCAAAAATAAAAAATTTCAAAAAAAAAATTGTGACTGGAAGGAGAATTGGATTAATATAGGTGTGGATCTTGACTAATCCCCAATTGTTAATTAAGTTCAAATGCGTTTAAGATTCATCATCCAAGTGGGGTGACTGGTTTTCCTCCTCCTTTCGTTTTTACTGTTTGATTGGATTTTAAATAACTTATCACTTTTGAAATGTCTAGTCTTGCAATTATACTCAAGAGTTCCTCCTCATTTCAAACGTTTTGAGTGAAACAATTACAAATCGATATATTTTTAATGATATCTAAACTTTCATCATAAGTAGACATCTGACATTCTACCGTTCACGTGATGAATACGACACTCTCGATATTACTCAAATTTTTCTTCCAACAACATAAGACACCTGACATTTTACAAGTCATGTGATGAGTGGAACTAGCTGACATTGACATTCCACATTGGCATAGGGCTGAGGGTACAAGTGAGCGCAAGGTTGAATGAGGCACTTTCGATATTACTCAAATTTTTGTAGTGTATAAATTGAGTACGACAAATGACATGTATACATTGCTTATCACATCATTTTTGAATTGTATTATTAATAATATTATAAGCTTTCAGTATCAGTTGACATTTGACATTTTACCATTCACATGATGAATGAGGCACTCTCGATATTACTCAAATCTTTCTTGCAACAACATATGATATTTGACACTATACAAGTCACGTGACGAGCGAAACTAGCTGGTATTGACATTGGCGTAGGGCTGAGGGGACAAGTGAACGTAAGACTGCATGTTTATTGTAAGTTTTTGTTTTGTTGGCATCCCCTCCTCAGTCCTCATTAATCCTCAATTCCAGGCCGAAATTACAGTCCGGTGGGTACAGCCAGCAGATATCGGATCCGACCGCATTAGAAATTTGGACTGCAAATAATGTCGGTGCAGAAATAAATCGAGAAATTGTCATGTCATGAAAGTTTAGGAAATCGTATTTTTGTATTGTATTATTGGTGAATTATTGAATACAACAATTGACGTGTATACATTACTTACCGTATCATATAAAACAAAAAGATAATCTTCTTAATTATTGACACAAATACACCATTACCTAACCTTTCATGCCAATGAAATAAATGTAATGTATAAATTTTGTTTTTATATCCTTGTTTCATTGATATAAAATACCACGTGCCGTTGTTTATGTGTGTGCATGAAGATGTCATTCAAGTTCAACCGTACATGATAAAATTTAAGGCCCAATCCAAATATCTTCAGAGGCTTAAACCCAATGCCGAATCCCAACTCAACGAATCACTTCCAATGGATATCTCAGCGTGTTTCTGATGAAAGTACTTAGCAGAAGTACTTCGTACAAAAACAATTCCAAACGAATTCTAAGAATAATCCCACACTGAAAATCTAGAAGGATATACAAAATGTGTTATATATATACGTATTGTCTGTGAAAAAAATGTGCACAGATAAGAGAATCTGGTAAATGGGGGCTTCTTCATCTTGTCCGAGCTCTCTTCACCAACTGTCAATACGGTGACATCATCCGGAACCCAGAAGCTCTTTTGCGAAGTAGAATCCGATCACCACGTGTCCGCCGCTGTTGGTGTTTACTATTAGGACCTTTTTCTTCTCCCCTGCATTGGCCCTGATGCTGAAGGAGCAATGATTGAAGCGCCTGGAAGTTGCAGGTTGTGTAAGGAAAGAGTGAGAGGTTGAGGTTGAAAGGGAGGAGGAGAGAGTGCAGAAGTGAGAGGAGGAGGAGAGAGAGAGGCAGGGGAGAGGAGAGAGAGACGGTGGAGAGAGGTTGGAGGGTGCGGAGGAGAAAAGCACTGAGGAGGAGGATGAAGCAAGAGTGCCCATTGATGACTACCAGTCTAGTTGCTGATCAATAATGCTATTTTTACCATGCTTTTCTACCACATTCATATACCATCTGACGTGGATAGCCACATTATTTAAATGAATTTAAATTAAATTAAAAATTATTTAATAAGTCAAGAATTAAAAAAAAATGCTGGAATTAAATGGTGATTGTGACATATGAGGAGTCTTCTCCTTCCTTTTCCATTCAATCTTGCTTTTTATCCCGTTTCTTCTTCCATGCCACTTCTTTCACGCCATTTTTTTTCACCCCAGTTTTTTTTCACGTTAGTGTGAACTACCACAATCTCAACTAATTCTCATATAGTAAAGATTCATCGACGTCGACAATCACAATTAGATGTCAATGGAATTTTCACCAATTCGCTGAAAATTTTCAAGCTTTATAACAGCGGCACAGCTCAGAAAGCTGTGGCCCAAGAAATCAGCGAACCGAAAGGGGCTTTCTACCATTGCAATTACTGCAACAAGGATATTTCTGGGAAAATTTGGATAAAGTGTGTGGTGTGTCCGGGTTTGTTTTATCAGCCTTTGTAGTGCATACACTAGAATTAAGAGACTTGTACATATGGTTAGTGTATTTACATTGATAGTGTGGTGTAATATATAAACTTGTATAATTATGTTTTATGTTTTAGGAACAGGAGTTCTTCTAATGAATTTACTGAAGAAGATTATGTAGTTGAAGTGAGTTCTTGTGGTTCTTATGATATAATGCTCTATTTGTAGTTCTTATGGTTATTGTTTTCTCTTTATTTAGGGTCAACAATATCCATACTGGAATGGAGGTTATAGTACTTGAAGAGGAAACGATGACCAAGAGCTCAACTAAGCAATGGAAGCAAAAATGAAAGCAATTTCTTTATGCAGTTTGAGTTTTTGTGGATTTGGATCCTATTTCTTCTAAACATAGATTTCAATGCATTTCAAATATTTTGTAACAGCAGCCAGTATGCAGACGTGTTAAGGTTCTAATTCTTGTTGTACTGAAAATGGAGTTTAATCAAGTTCTTATCCGCACTCTAGTCACCATCAATGTCATATGTTCCTTGCGCTACATAACTGACAAACTAAATGGTTTTGTTGCTGCCGTTGAGTTCATGTTACTATTTTTATGATATATGATATCATACATATATATATACATATTTTGGTGCTTGGCTGGAGCTTCAGAAGAAGTATGACATTACCAATTTTTGAAGGGCTAAGAACTATATACATGACTCATAACTTCTTGGACAATTTCATTGATTTGTTTTTCATATAGAATCGTATTTCAAAAAAAGGGTCGTGTGTTTGCTCACTGGCACCTATTTTCAACAATGAAAATGATGATGGTGCTGGTATTGGAAAGCCTGACCTAGCTAAGGCTCAAGATATTGAAATTGGCGATTACCAAAGGTAAAATATTATAATCTCCATACCAAAAAACTTAGTTGATCAACTTGATCTTAATATATATTCTGACTTGAACTGTAAGAAATTACCTACCTCGGTGAGAATTTCGATATGATTCGAATCATAAAATCGTTAAGTTCTGGCAGATGAGAAAGTCAAATAGAACTGGCCTGATCCATATCTTCTACACTTTGCAGTGAAGTTGTAGTCTTCAAACAAAAACTCAGCAGGCAACTAGTTAAAAATTTCTTACTAGGTCCTCATCTAAATGTGATGTCTCTCTTTTTATCAGGTGCACAGTCCATATAGTAATGCTGATGGATATGGTGAACTTGACATGGTCTCATAAATTGGCTAGTTGCTGAAAAGCCAACTTGCAACTTACACAGATAGAAGTCAAACTCTCCGTTTTTCCGGTTCCGGAAGGGAACTGTACTTGGGAATGGGAGCGGTTGTCTTCTTATTTTGCAAACAATTTTACAAAGCACAAATACTTCAATTAAAGATCGATCGATCAATCAATACTACATAAATAAACAATGTTACGAAGCACAAATACTTATTCGACAACATTGCAATTGGGAAACAGGACAAAGTTGATTGCATATATGTACTTGAAACTAGTGTACCTAAACGGATGACATATGGTCATTGAAAAGTGACACCAGAAATCAACATATATGCGAAATTCTCCCTCGGTGCTGAACTTGTCATCAATCACCACATTTTGTTTCCACCTCAATGAGAGAAAGCCGAGCAGCTTCCCAATCTCTTTGCCATTGCTTCCTTATGAACTCATTCGCCTTGGCCATCTCATCAGCTCTGAACTTGACAATGATTGAAACCAAGTTTGAATCTTTATCTTCCTCTGAGAAAACAAAACCAAGATCCATAAACCCTTTTAGCTCTTCAAACTGAAGGTCTGTCAAACTCTTGCTCTCACTCTTCTTCTTTCTTTTCCTCCTCCTTTCAACTTTCTTCTGTGGTTCTTCTTTTGAATATATCCATTTCAGGTTTCCGATTTCCTTAGCTTCTTTTCTGGAAAGAATTGTGGAGTGCTTCGGTTTGTGGAGGACAGAGTCTGGCGAGAGAGTGCTCGTATTGGAGCTCAACTCATCGCTGATGGACCTGGTGCAGTAATTGCAATGGTAGAAAAGCCCCTTTCGGTTCGCTGATTTCTTAGGCCACAGCTTTCTGAGTTGTATTCTCTGCCACCTCCGCCCCCAAAGCCGTTCTCTTTCTTTTGCCTCTACTACAGATTATCCAACAAATAAACAACTTTTTGTGAGACATAATTGGGAAATTTGGATTTCCTAATTATTTGATAAAGCTTGAAAATTTGCAGCGAATTGGTGAAAATTGCACTGACATCTGATTGTGATTGTCGACGTTGATGAATCTTTGCTGTATGGGAATTAGTTGAGATTGTGGTAGTTCACACTAACGTGAAAAAAACTGAGGGTGAAAAAAAAAATGGTGTGAAAGAAGTGGTGTGGAAGAAGAAACGGGAGAAGAAGCAAGATTGGATCGGGAATGAAGGAGAAGACTCTTCGTATGCCACACTCACGATTTAATTCCAAAATTTTTTTAATTATTGGTTTATTAAATGGTTTTTAGTTTAATTTAAATTCTGATTAAGTTAAATGATGTGGTTGTCCACATTAGATACCACATAAGGTGGTATATGAATGTGGTATAAAAACATGGTAAAAATAATGTTATTCTTACCATAACTTTATACCACGTTTCTTTACCATCTTAGATGGCACATGAGTTGGACAAGTTACATCATTTAATTTCAATTTTTTATTAATTAAAACACTTAAATAATCTTAGGTGGAAGAAGGAGACTCCTCGTATACCATAATCATTATTTTATTAACAATCTTTTTATTAACATTTTGAAATTAAATGCTAATTAATTTAGATGATGTGATTGTCCACATCAGATGCCACCTAAGGTGATATACAATTGTGGTACAAAAATATGATAAGAATAACATTATTGACCCGAGAAAAATGAAAAAGATAAAAGGAATAAAAGTACAAGAGAATATTCCTAATTCAGAAATTATAAACGTGTTGTCCAATAAATTTAACATATAGTTTATCGAGACAAATATACTTGTATTCTAATACGTGTTTTTTCTTTCTTTAGGGAGGGATATTGTAACGTGTTGAGTTTATAATATTAACATGCAACAAGTAAATGTTAGGGTAAGACGTAATAATTCCTCCCATCCCACCTCAATAAGGAGAGATAATTTAATGTGCTTGGAGCATAGATGGTACGTCATATGTTATTATACAATTAGATGAACGCTTGAAAAAGAAACTTTCCTTAAATTATACAATGACATATGATGTATCGCTTGTGTTCCGAGCAAACTAAAAAGTTTCCCCTAAAAAGCCAACTCCCTTTGTTAGTCAAGAATCTTGAGATCAATAATAAATTGATCGATTTGACTATTTTTGTAACGTTGGCATTCGTCTCCTCTATATACAATATACATCAAACAGTCAAACTAGAATATATGTATGAAATATCCCACATTATCTCAAGCTCCTCCAAACCCCCAAAAACTAGCCGTTACTCTTTTTCCTCTGTTCTCTCTCAAAAATGGCAGCTTCAGTGGACACGCCATCGCCTATCCACCTCAACAAGCAGTCACTCATGGATTCTTCTTCTCCGGTATTCAGCCCCTCCTCCGATAAGCGCTTCTGGAGCTCTCTCCGCAGCCGGATTGACGTTCTTCTAGATGATCGCAGCACCACAATCCCAATTGCTCAGAACCCACCAAATGTTGATCCGTCTCGGCCAATTCAAACGGTGAGTTGTTGGTTTAACTGTAGAATTTTGGTTATTGTTCAACTGGGTTTTCTGCTGTGGTTGTGAATTTGAAAGTTTTTACATTTTTTTTATGGGAAAAGAATGGCGGAGGATCGAAACGAGCAAGAGCGACGATGGAAGACTCATTGCTTTTGATGAGAGGGTTTGATTCCATAGCTCACACTTTGGCTCAGCTCTCGAATACTTTGGATAATGCTCTTCAGGTAAATTTCTACCCTATTTGTAGCTAAGATTTGAACTTTTATGTCAGATTTGAATTGGAAAGAGTTTAAATAGGCGATTTTTCTTGGGTACGAACATGCACTAAATGCGAACACTTACAAATGATCCATGTAGTACACCGTATGAGACCGAGCAGACGGTGTAGTACACCGCTCAATGGGTGACGATGATGGTATTTTTAGGTGTTCGTATTGTAGACGCTATATAGTAATGTTTGAAATTTGTTTTTTGATTGCCTGAACTGTAGAAATTAGTCGAATCCAGGTGGGATTTGAGCTTATGGGACTACTTTGTTTGCTGTGTTTATATAGGGAGCCAACGGTCTAGCTAAGCCACCCACATTGACGGAGATATTACATAACCACCTGAGCAACTCGGAGACGAAGAGTAGAGAGAAGGATTCGGAAGAACAGCAGAATGCAGAAGATTCCAATGTTGGATTGAAGAGGAAATTCGACGACAGCCATTGCTCAAAGGAACAAGGAGATGAATCCCAGAAAGAAAATGAGAAAGAAGGCCCCAGAGACGGGAAGCTGAAGAAAGCAAAAAATGTAGGTTTCTCTCTTTTGTTCAGTGTCAAGGCTTTGATGAGTTTTTATGTTGATTGCTAATTGTGTGCTTATGTGTGTTTTATCTCTCTACAGCTTGCGATTTCTATGGCAACAAAAGCAGCTTCGTTTGCCGGGAACTCAAGTCAATAAGGTTAGATTTATCCTTTATGCAAGAGCGCTGTGTTTTGCTGGAGGAGGAGAATCGGAGGCTCCGAGACGGGCTGGTTAAAGGGTTGAGGCCTGAGGAAGATGATCTGGTGAGGCTTCAGTTGGAGGCACTGCTAGCTGAGAAATCAAGACTAGCAAATGAAAATTCAAACCTAGTTAGGGAAAATCAATGCCTCCACCAGCTTGTGGAGTACCACCAGCTCACCTCCCAAGACCTCTCTGGTTCATATGAACAAGTTGTACAAGGGTTGTGCCCAGACTTCTCGTCTCCTCCACGACCAACAGCAGACGAGGCAAATGGTGATGCTACTGCTGATAATGAAGTTTCTCAGACAACAAGAAGTAATCTTTTAGGGTTCTCTGCTTTGCTTGATGATCAGTAGCCGAATGGTTTTGCAGATTGTTTCTTCGGGGTTCGAAATAAACTGTTGCAGATGTAAATTTTGATGCCATTGACTTCTATTCTGTGATTTCAGAAACATAAGCACATGATCTCAATGAAAATTATATTATCGCTTTACTTTGATTTTCGGAACCTCTTTTCCCTACTCAAATTATATGTTAAGGTGATTTCAATGGAAAATATCTTATAAACGAGTTCCGGATACCAGTTCTCAGCAAGGAAACGTATCAGATCAAAGAATATTACAATTCAACATTCTTCATTAACTACCACGAAAGTTACGATTCATCATTCAAGCAAGGAAACATACATCATACGGGTAACCAAGTACTAAATATTAACAACAACCAAAGTTATGCTTCAATGTCTAAAGCTACTGCCTACTGGTTTCACGTTTTACAAGCTAAGCCAATCCAGCTACTGTTTAAACCACCAGGACAGCTTCTTTCTCTTGTCCTTAGATGCTGACTTGCGATCTTGAGCAGAATCCTGAGGAGAAAGTGCATCACATGCTGCTTGAGATGAGAAATTCATAAATGTTTCAGTAGCCTTCGATAAAGTTGAGACCAAAATCACGTCCTTCATCTTCTCCATCACTTCAGAAAATGCATGAGTCCCTTTCTCAAACTACAACCAAACAAAGTAAACATGGCAACCACTCACCGCTCGACATATGTAACGTTTTTTTTTTTTTATCCTTTTAAACCTATGAATGCTGGTATAAACTATGATTTCAAGTTTGGCATGAGCAACTTCCAACTTTGAAGTACGCTTACGGTTTTCATTTGTCAAGGCTTCAATCTGCACATGTAAAGGAAATGTCATATTTCCTGACTAGAAGATAGATAGTTCATGATGTCATATTTCAACTTCCGTCTCACTATCACTAACGTACACAGGCTCTATGTCCTGGTTTTGAACAGGCGTAATGCTGTTACGAAGGCGCAGAGAACGCCTAACAACAGCATTGTACTTGTTGGGTCTCTTTCTCGAATGAGATGGTTTGGCAGATTTTTCTTGCATCCTAAGGTTTGAGTTAGTTTTCTCCCGTGGAGGAGGGCCAGCGTTTTCGGGGTGCTGTTCCACTCTCTCAGGAGAAGGATTTGGTCCCCCAGGCTGTGGTTCCTTAGTTTCAGATGATGCATTTATAGCCTAAGGCTTTAAATTCAATACCAGAATCATGTATTAGTAAAATAAACCATAATTAAGCAAATAAACTAGTATTTGCAGCCATAATATCAACACGGAGAAACAAATTAAAACAAGATTCCATTAAGAATTCAAAAACATCAACAAAAGTCATAGCCCGAATCACTTTTTACAGTATATTTATAGTTGATAAGAACTGATTCGGGCTCTGACTTTTGTCATGTTGGTGCTAAAGGAGGAGGGTGATCATTTCCTCTTCAATTGGTGGTTAATATTACTCAAATCTTGATTAAAATTCGACGTACCGATCCATGCCATGAAGGAAACTCCGAAGTCCACATAAACGTATTATAAGGGTGCCCTGTTTTTGTGAAAAGTACGATATTCATTGACAATTTTCATTGGAAAAGAGGACAAAGTGCATAGCATAGCCCTCGTTAAAATTTTGTTAAGAGTTTTCAACCCAACCAAAAAAAAGGTGTACGACGAACAACTAAAACAAGATTAATCAGATAATACAACAATTCATACGTACAGAAACTCATTAAGTGCAAGCTACACTTATATGTAAAGCAAATCGAGCAAGACAGTGCGCATCACCATTGGCCCGACCTCAAATAATATGGGTAAACCGTAAAACCATCTCCAATGGCATATACAAGCAACGACTTCACATCCTCAACAACAGGACCAAAAGGGGAAAATGTCCAAAATGGTGTTTTACAACAATCAACAACCAAGCCTTATCCTACTAAAAAGGGTTGGCCGTATGAATTTTAGAATACTACTGTGCTCGATTTTGTGTCATGTCTTTCGTTTCATTAACTCCAAGTACTCTATATTTTTTATCTTAAAATGGTACTTTGCACCCGAATATTATTTTCACTAACATTATCAGTTTCTCTAGCGACTGGACTAATTAACTAATGAAATTCATTATCAATACCAATTAAGATCAAAGGACTGCAATTAAGCATTTGGAAAGTTAATCTTGAAGTCTAATGATGATATGTCCATAAAGTTGTTTCGTTGTGGGATCAAAATGCCTCACTAATATTTATAGCTTATGTCTGCAAATTTAGTACAATAATTAGCATGCCATTTATCTTGAGGACATGTTGCATGATTTAAGGACCCTATATATGTCTATTTTTTTGCCTAGGTGAAACATATGCAGGCATGTTTTAAATTAATGGAGGAAAAAGTTGTCACTAACATGGAGGAAAAAGTTGTCACTAATATGCAGAGAGAAAGTTGCTTTCTGTTGCTCTACAGAGTAAGATAACTACATTTTGGGATTTTGAGTGCACAATAAACTTCATGATTAGTGCTTGAACTCTTGCCTTAGAAGAAAACAAAGTAAAGGTTAAATTTAATTAATATTAATTTATTTAAGTTTCCACCAAGGTTGTT